GGCTCATTCAACTGTTTTGTCCAACTGTGATTACTTAAAGCTACTTAAAATTTGTGACATTTTTAGCTTATGATTCATGTTCAAATTTATATACCCAGAGTCTGCAATGTCTCAATTTTCAAAACAGTATGCTATTGTGGAATGTCACTCAGTGAAACCTGCAATAAAAAAGATGACTCATAATTGGTACTGAGCCTTACTGTTCTTGTTATAAAATGTAACTCTCACACAACTTTGTTAACGAGATTTCACAATATCAAAATGCATGATTAATGAATTGACAATAGCAAAATACAAGCAGAATTCTCCAAAAAAGAAAAAGGAAAAGTGAACTCAACACATAAAGGGGAAAAGTTTTAAAACTACCTTGGGTGGTTTTAAACTATCATTTCACCAGGAATGAAATGATGAAGCCCCGTGGGAAGCAGGCAGGAGGACAAAGGTACACAGAGTTGCTGACATCTGTAAATAGAAGCACCACACTCATTAGCAAGGAAGCCCGGGGACGTGGCAACGGTGACAACTCAGTTATGAAACTTAGTACAAGAAGCCAGGCTTTCAGACTCTGCCAGGAAAGCCTTCCTCTGTTCAATGCTATTAATTTGCAAGCTGTGATAATGTCATCGAGGAGGTCAATGGTTTTTTCTTGGAGGTTCATGAAAATCCAAGTTTGCCAAGCAACTTATCAGTGTAAATACAATTACTGTGGCAAATAAAGAAACACTCTCCCGATTTTTAAAGGGACCTCAGAAGACTTCTTGATAAACAAACCAGAAAAAATGAGCTATGAATTATATATGATCCTCCTTTATTATAACAAAATTGTCTGCCCTTTGCCTTTGGCTTTCTCTACTCTTGAAATTATAATACCTCATCTCCAGTTTCTTCTCAGTTCAACTTAATATGTTCTTATTATTTGTGGCATTACCTTCTTTGTTTACATTTTTTTAAAAGAAAGCCAGTATTCTTGTTTAATCTTGATAAATTTGGGTGGGTTAGAGGCTTCAGAGAGAAGCAAAGTAACATTACATTGTAAATTCCATTAGTGAAGTTGTCGGACAGCTTGTTCAAACTAATTTTAAGGTTTGGATTTTCTCTTTTCATTTTCTTATTAGGACTTGCAGTCAGTTTCTTCGGGTTCCCAGAGAGTCCATTACCAGGTAACATATAATTGACTCTCCTTTCTTACCTTCCAGCCAAGAGAAGTCCATCCTTCCGCTTACATCTAGAGTCTACATCTTCTGTAGGAGGGCGTTTGCTGTAAGAACACAGTAAAGTTGGGAGGCTTTCTGGTGTTTGTCATTGAAAGCAATTCATGCGTAATCTTCCTCAGTGTACTCGGGTGAAGTCTCTTCTGTCACCCTGATTCTTTTGCATTTTACTCATTTGGGGCCCTTTTAGTACACATTTGAACTACAGATTTTCCCTCAGATTATATGGAAAAGCATTACATATTGAAATTTTTCTAGTAACAAACACCAAAAAGCTCCACTCAAGGTAGCTTAGCAGAGGAAATGTTTTTGGGATATTGTCATACACAAAACATCCAGATCAAGTGTGGATTTCAATGTACCTTTGTGTGTGTGTGTGTGTGTGTGTGTGTGTGTGTGTGTATTTAGGACAAGGTCTATGGGGTATACAGGAACTCACTGCATAGATTAGACTCATAGTGATTCTCCTGTTTTCAGCCTCCCAAGTGCTGGGATTACAGGCGCGCGCCACCATGCCCAGTCTCAATGCCATCTCAGCATGCCCTGGGAGCGGGGCCGGCCCAGCAGGCCTGGGGATCGAACTACTGGCCCCTGCGTCTGCCTAAACAGATGCTTTAATCCGCTGAGCTATTTGACCAGCACTTCAGTGTACCATTTGACCAGGAGTCATTCTCCATTTTCCTGGTGATTGTTTTGCTTTTTTCCCCCTTTTTCTGAAAGTTTCACTTCTGGAGTAGATATTTTCATAGACCAAGACACCTTCCCTTTTTATCCTGGGGGGAGAATTCTCTGCTTTCCATATAGTCAGCAAACCAAAGTTCTAAACTGCGATCCCTGGTAATGCATGCCATGCTGGCCCTGGAACCCTGGGCATGCTTTACCAGCCCCCAAACTGAGCATGGTGGCACATGCCTGTAATCGCAGAACTGGGGAGGCTGAGAAAGGAGTATTATTATGAGTCCGAACTGCATGCCAAGACCCAGTTTCAAAAAAATAAAATTTTTTTACATGCAATCAGATTGGTTCACGCTTGGTCTTATGGATTAGACCTAATAAACCCAGTCTGACTCTCTTTGATGTGATCCACAGCAAGTCTTCCAGAGAATGCAGTTCTTTGCTCAAGCTGACATGGAGATGCAGTTCCCCCTCAGTGTCCCCAGCCTCTTCCGCCAACCTCTTACACACTAGATTCCTCAGGCCCAGTCCAGACCCCGCGACAGCATTATTTGCAAGAGTACAGAGCTGCCATAAAGCTTTCAGATGCAAGTCCTTTCCTCTGAGAGGTCCCCGAATCCTCCCCTTAACAACAAGGGTCTTTCCTGAAATAGGGATCATTAGGCAATATAGTTGTCATGTGAGCACAAACTAAAAAGGCTGTGACGTTACTGTCACTGGGAGATACAACCTTATAGGCCTGTTTCTTTTCTGCCTACTGCTGACTGTCATTATGTAGTACATGACTATCTATACTGTCTAACTTTTAAAAAGTATTTATGTGCCTTTCTTTATAATGATAAATAATAATACTCCTTTGCATATATCACAGTAATCAGGGAAGGCGTGGAGGTTCAAGCCTGTATTCCCAGCACTTGGGAGACTGAGGCAGGAGGATCACTGTGAGTTTGAGGCCAGCTTGAGCTACACAGTGAGTTCAGGACAGCTTGAACTACACAGAGGGAACTAGTCACAACCAACCCAACCAAACAACCAACCAACCCACCCACCTACCGACCAACCCACCAAAAATATTTTTCATTCTTCTTCTTTAAATTACTTTTATTGAAAAACAAATAGCAAGAGACAGTTTCAAAACCGATTAATAGGACAGTTTCATTAATTAATACATTGCATATTGTTGTCTTCATGGTAGTTATTCATACTATAAGATGCAGACATGATATCCCATCCAAACACTATTAGTACAAATCTTTCTTCTCATTGAATTAAAGAGAAAGTAGCTGTATATCTATCCTATTTTGTATACAGATACAAAATTGTCCTTCATTTTTTCGTTTAGTTTTGTCAGAGATGGGCATTCTATTGCTGTTTAAATACAGTAGGTGCATGAATTCAGCAAAATAATCCAATATAGTAGTCCACAATAGTAGTGGGTTATCCGCAGGACTGGCAATGTTAGAAGTTGTTGACTTGAGCCTTTTACAGCTCAGCATATTGATATGGCTTTACTTTTCATACCTTGTTTTTTTACTTTTCTGCTGAATGGTTAAGACCAAGATAAAACAAGACCTATATAACAAGAAATGTAACTTTTGTATCTCACAAGGTCAGTCAGAACCCCTCTGGATTTATCCTGAAACCCTGTACTGCAGTTTGTAGTTCCTTTGTTAGTTTCAGCCATGTGGATGAATCATGGCCATTGCTTGATCAATTTGCTCTCTGTGAAAGCCTGAGAGAATGTTTTCTTTCCATGTGATTCTCTTTAGGCACACTCGACATCACTGAGCACTTTCGTGTGTGTTCCTATAATCTCCTTGATCAGAAAATTTGTGACATGACTGAGTTACAGGATGTTACAGTACAGGTTCTTTTATGTCCTGAGTCCTCACTGACCTTGAAAGGCTAGGGCCAAAACGTTGGTTGTCTTTGTAGCCTTTCTTTTTCTCTAATTTTTGGTCTGAAAACTTAAGTTGTTAACCCCCCAGAATTAATGCTATTATGATATTATTACACCAAAGATATTATTAATGATATTATTGTGGGAGGACTGGTGTCCTTGTGCCCACAATGCTTAATGATATTATTACACCATGACATAGGCAGTTGAGCTTAACCTCACTATCTGTCTGAATATCAAACATCTTAGATATAGCATGGAACAGGTACTTTCCATCAAGTATTGATATGTTAAACTTTAAATCCCTACAGAATGTGAAGAGAAAGAAAGAAAGAAAGAAAGAAAGAAAGAAAGAAAGAAAGAAAGAGAGAAAGAAAAAAATTGGAATAAGCAATTACATATTTTATACAGAAATTTAAAAAATCTACCCATATACAGCATTGTAGCAGGATAGTCCTATGACATTTTTTTCTTGTCTTTTGTTTTCATTTATTACCCTTTTTAAGCAAACATTTTCTTGAGAGACAGTATAGCAGTAATTGATATGACATGACAAACAATATATATTTAAAAGATCAGAATGACAGGCATTCTGAGCATGACCCTAGTATTACACGCTGCTATTTAATGCAGTTGCTTAGTTCACAGGTATCAGTGTACATAGTTAGTCAGGGTGAGAAACTTACCAACTAATGGCTAGCTTCAAAAACCTGCTGAAGATTCTCAGGATCATTGCCTTAACCATCGTGTGCTTATAAATGTATGGTTTTGACCTGTTATGTTTCCTAGCTTTTCTCCTTGCCCTCTGTTCATTGTTTAATCCTTAAATTCTCACTTTCCTTTTAACTGTGTTGTACCTTTCTCTTTTTAGTTCTTCTTTGAGTTAGGGAAACTACATGATATTTACACATGTGGGTCTGGTTTATTTCACTTGTGAGTATATCTTCAGGTGGCATTCACTTAAATATAAAGGCTTTGAGTTTATCATTCTTTATGGCTGAGTAATGCTCCACTGTATAAAAATACCACATCTTTTTCATCAGTTCCTCAGGTGACAGGCATTTTGGTTGTTTCCATGATTTGGCTATAACAAATTGTGTTGCTGCTAGAATTAATGAACAGATTCAGTAGCATAGCTGGGTACAAAGTCAATACCCAAAAGTCAGTAGCATTCCTCTACACAGACAACAAACACACTGAGAGGGAAAGTAGAGAAACAATACCTTTTACAATAGCACCAAGGAAAATGAAATACCTTGGAATTAACCTAACTAAAGAAGTCAAAGATCTTTTCAATGAAAATTACAGTACTCTTAAAAAAGAGATCATAGAGGATTTCAGAAAATGGAAAGATATTCCCTGCTCTTGCATAGGGAGAACCAGCATTGTGAAGATGGCCATACTTCCAAAATTGCTGTACAGATTTAATGCAGTCCCTCTCAGACTACCACCAACACACCTCCAAGACCTAGAGAAACTGTTCCTAAAATTTATTTGGAACCACAAAAGATCTAGGATAGCAAAGGCAGTCTTAGGCAACAAAGACAAGGCAGGAGGCATTACAATTCCTGACTTGAAATTATACTACAAAGCTACTGTGATAAAATCAGCATGGTATTGGTAACAAAATAGACCTGAGGATCATTGGAATAGATTAGAAGATGCAGAAGCCTTTACAAACACACTCAGCCACCTTATCTTCGACAAAGGGGCCAAACATGCTTACTGGAAGAAAGATAACCTCTTTAACAAATGGTGCTAGAAAAACTGACTCTCTACATGCTGAAACTAAAACTTGACCCAGGTCTATCACCATGCACTAAGCTAAAGTCAAAATGAATTAAAGATCTAAACGTTAAAACAGAAACATTAAATCTCCTCGAAGAGAAAGTAGGAGGAACTCTTGAAGACAGGGGTAGGCTAAAAATCAAATTGCACAGGTAATACTTGAAAGAATCAACAACTGGGACCTCCTCTTATTGAGAAGTTTTTGCACATCAAAAGAAATTATCAACAAAGTGAAAAGATAACCACAAATTGGGAAAAAATATTAATCACTCTCCTTTTGAGGAGAAGGCATGTACTGGGGCTTGAGTCCATGGCCTCCACATGCTAGGCAAGTGCTCTAGTACTAAACTACGTCCTCACCCTTTCTATTGTGACATACGGTCTTGTAGTTGCCCAGGTTTGCCTCAAACTCATGATCCTCAGATATGAACAGTAGTGTAAAGTTTGATTTTAGTCTTGGTTTAGGTCCTCATTTTGGGTTTTAAAATTATTTATTTTATTTTATTTTATTTTATTTTATTTTATTTTTTTGCAGAACCAGAGATTGAACTCAGACCCTTGCACTTGCCAGGGAAGCACTTATTCA